TATTAAAGTAATAAATTTTCATTGTAATCCTTTTGGTTTGTTAAATACTGATTGGTTCCTATTACTAATAAACTTCAATTCAATCATTTTCTTTTAATAATTTTTTGTTTTTATTTTCAACCTATATACCATTATTCTGAAAAACATAATAAATAATTTTTAAAAAAATCATTACAGGTTAATTTGACTATTTTTTTTTTCTTCATTTACTGTATAATATTTACTTATTGTTAAATAGTAAAGAAAGAAAGAAAGACGTAGGCAAATTAGCCTCTAGTGTTTTTTTGCATTATAAAGTTCTTTTTGATAATTACCAAAAATGTAATTTAATATCTAATTTATAATATAACTTAGGTAATATAGTGAAAAATTATTAAGACAATAGCATCAAACCGAAGTCTATTAGTAATAATATTAAATTAAATTGATTAGAGATAAACATTCATCAGTTTATTACCTTTTGTTATTCCTGTAATGTTTCTAATACCACTTATGGTATCTTTTACATGAATATATATCTATATATATTTTTTTTTTCAAATATATAGAAGCCTTTCTCATCAGTATTTTCCTATAAATAAATCTATTTAATTTATGGCTTTAAAAACAGATACCAGCAATGGAAGATACTATTATTCTGAAAGATATATAGAATATGTTTCATTGTTTCTGTTTTGATATTATTCTTTTTTTTTCTTTTTATTTCTTTATATATATATATATATATATATATATATATATATATATATATATATATATATATATATATATATAGTAAATTAAAAGTTTCATGAATGTCATTTTAACTTGTTTTTGTTTTAAAACACTTGGCAGGATTACACAAATGCACTGAATGCTGGAGGAAATTCTCTAGGGTTGACAATCTGAAACGTCATCAAAAGATGAACTGTGGAAAGGAACCTCTACTTCAATGTCCATACTGTGGACATCGTTCACGGCGGACTGACAACATGAGATGTCATGTACTCAGAAAGCATGAAGCAAATGCAGAAAATTTAAAATTTGAAAAACACTCTTAATAAAATTTAAATTATAACTAAACACTCTGTTACCATTAGTGCCTTTTTAAAATAGAAGACTGATCTAATGCCTGAAAATGTTTAGTGGATTTAGTTATGATAACTTGAAATTATAAGATATGGAAAGTTAATGTGAACTTCCATCAAGTGACAATCAAAGTAATAGTTTTCTTCGATTTATAATTTGTATGGTATGGAGAACATCTTTAATGAGGAGAACAACTTCTCCTTCCTGTTCCTAGTGAGAGTGCATTTATTACCTTGAGGGTTTAACTTAGTGTTTTTAACTCAGCACATTACCTAATCCCTCGTTTATTGCTCCTAGTAATATTGAATTGTAGTTTGCAATCTTACATACGTTTTCATAATTATTGTACTCACTTTAATTTTGGTTTTCTTATGGAACAGCAGATCAAGGGATTTATTGTTGGTCATAGAACTTTCTTTTTTCTTTTTTTTTTAACAATGTAGAATTATTAAATTAAAAACTAAATGAGGTAAGATGGAACTTTTATTTCTTCTATTCATTTTAATATTGTCAATGTCTACTGTTATTTAATCTACCTGTTATGTTGTTGTTTGTGAATTTTTATTCAAAATATTGTTTTTTCTATATGTGTTATGGATTATTTATTGTTTATTTTATATCAAAGCAGAATGAAAAAATGTTTGATATAGTGTATAATAAATAATAAACGTGTTATGAAACTTTTTTCTTATAAATTAATAACTTGTTTATTCATTTTCAGTGCTCATGATCAACCTGATGCAGTAGAGACCCATTAATCCGGATCCCAATTATCCGGACAGAATTAAAAAAATAAAATAAGCTATTCAATTAGAAATTTAATTTTGGGAGCAGTAAGTACAAAAATTATTTAAGCGAAGAGAGTTTGACTTTCTCAGTTGGCTTCAATTTCAATAGAAAATTGCTAACAAAGAAGATACCCTTTCCAGTTACGCTTTATTTTAATTGCCACTCTTTCTTTTCCAAAACTGTAGACTGCTTTGATAAAAGAAGTGCGTTGGAAAAACATTAAGCCAAAAAAACTTATCAGGCTTTTGTACCTTTGTTTCAAGAAAATTACAAGCATTTTTCAATGTTCTAAAAATGTTATTCCTGTTTTTGTTACGTTCTATGTTATGTTTTAATATATAATCCTGTCGAGAATTTAGCATTTATTTTGTTTGTAAAATTCTTAAATTTAAATTACAACATTTATCAACCTTGGTTTGTTTATTGATACTTAATAATAAAACCATATTAAGTTTGAATCACTAAGATGTATTGTTTCGTTATTCTAGCTCAATTCTTAATTAAAAACCTTGACCTATATATAAATTAAGATAAGGAAAAGGTTTATTTTTAAGTGAAAAAATATACAAAAAACATATATATCATGTTCATTTTACAGTAAATTATATTTAATTCAAACATCAGGGATTCAGTCATGATTCATTCCCATCTAATCTGGATTAGTGGGACTCTACTGTATTTTCAACCACAACATTTACCTTCATAATTTTCCCAGGAATCAAGTTTTATATATTTAATTACTTTGTTTCATTTGATTTTTTTAAATCTGATTTATTAACACAAGTAAATATTTTTTATGCACTACAGATATTTTATAAATATTTTTCTATTTTCTCAAAAATGTGAAAGAAAATGTTTTCATATACTTCTATTGTCCTTTTCATCATGCAGTAAGTTTAAAATATTAGAACGAAAAGGTAACTCAAAAATGATATTTACTCAATAACAGATGAAGTTTGATTTTGGTATGATGATATTACTTCTAATTATTAGTCATACATCTGTTTCATTAATTACTACTTTTTCACCCAACATATTAAGTTTCTTGTTCCCAATTGACTCATTCTTTGATTGAGTTACTATTTATTTCTGGTGTGCCTTTTATTATATTTATGTTTTGTCTTGACCTTTTATATATTTTGGTGATTTAGTAAAAATCTTTAGAACGTGATTTGATTGGTCTTGTGTTATTATTATTATTTTTTTCCTTTGAAACTTCTGTTATTAGTTATAGGAGTTAACAAAGCACTTTATATTGCTATATTATATTATACCAGTTGTATTCTACCCTAGTTCATTACTTTAAGTTTTACATTGCCTATCAATTTTGGAAAAAAGAATAAGATTGATTATGAGTGAGAAAAATAGATTTTAGGACATATCTGTTTATTCCAAACTCCTAATTCTTATGAACAAATATTTAATATATCATACACTTATATGAATTATTTTGTTTTAATGATTGTTTTTAATTATTAAGGTTAATTCATTTTAACTCACAAGTTGTCTATTTATGTAATTATTCTTATTTTATTTTTCCTTATTTGTTGAAATGAAATGAATGAAGAAATAATTTTATACTGGGACTGAGTCCCCTAAAAATAATTACAATGTTCAATCATACACTGTAGTCTAGCAAGATACTGTTTCTTGTGTTATATATTTGAATATTAGTACTTTTTGGGGGAGAGGAGGCAGGCAGTTTCTCATTGTAATAATATTACAATTATGACTTGAAAATATAGATTGTATATGATATTTTGTTTCATTGATATAGATTTTATTTTTCTTAAAGATTTTAAGAAATATCAATAGTTACAATGAACTTTAAAACTTTCTGAGTGAACTATTGCCTACTTATATTGCTTGATCAATGGAATAACTCTCAACTCTTCCACTTTTGCTAAATAGACTTATTACCTGTGATCAAGCAAGGAGTGGCCTTCTGCTCTGCTAGAAGTAGATAAGGTCATTGTCCCAACTAACAACTACATTATTACTATTTTTTTTATTTATTTTTTTTGTTTTTGTGTTTAATTTATGTTACCTGTAGCTGCTTATCTAGTCTTATTCATTTTATTGTTTTGTTTAGTGTAATAATGATTATTTATTTGATATTTGTTAAAGGTGACTAATATGTTTTATGTTTATTATTATTTATTTATTTTATTTTTCCCTTTTGTAATAAATGAAAAATTCTTAACTTTTTATGAATATTTACTAGACCCTTAATGCTATTTTAAAATTACTTACAGCTATATTTCATGGGTGGGGAATCTTTTTATATTTTACTGCTAATATTGTTATTAGTCAGTAAATACTCACACCCATACGTTCATATATATTCAACTTAATTATATTAATTTTTTTAACCTAAATATTTAAATATTAATTTATTCTAATGATAGATTAATAAATATCGTGCAAAAATGTTTGAAGGCCTCAGTTTCCCACCAGTGCTGATATTCAGTTTCCATTAGTTGCTGATATTCTAAATTAAATCCTTTCAATTTTATCAAATGACAGATTATGTTATCTATTTATTTATTTTTTATTTGACTCAATTATTTTGTTGATAAATAAGATTATGTTTTAACTATACTAATGAGTAAAAATGTTCTAATAACTAGCCCTTTGCAGATTCTAAATTTTGTGGTCTGGAGACACTTCATTACTGTCGCTGTGGCCGAGGTTATCGCTATTCTCACAATTTGGAAAGACATAAACGTCATGAATGTGGAAAAGAAGCAGAACATGTCTGTGTACACTGTCCTTATCGCTCAAAACATAAACACAACTTGCAACGGCACATGATACTTCGGCATCCAGCGATAGTAGATCTACCAGGCTTACCATTATTTCAAGCCTGGAACACCTTGAAATAAAATGATATGTTATATTTTTAATTTAATTTTTCAATAGTAGTGCTTCCTTGTGTGTATGTAAATAAAAAAGATGTTCCTCTTGTGTTTTTATATATTTGATTTGATTTAATCGGTGATGTGGTTTATTATAATATTTTTTTTTTTTTTGTTAAAATAAAAGTAATTTAATATTCATGAGTTTTTATCATTATATTCCCGTGGTGCAAGGGTGCATGGCATGGCTTGGGTGACGGTCATGCAACTATGTTTAGTTAACTTATGAATGAGTGTTTTCCAGGGGAGGAGAAGAGGCGCTACCGAAGAAGCTATGGTGTCTTTCCATGTCCCAACTGTGGTAGAACATACCTTCGCAAGGACTCACTTCAACGACATACCCTTTGGGAATGTGGAAAGGATCCACAGTTCCAGTGTCCTTTCTGCCCTCAGAAGTGCAAACGGAAATCCCATCATATTAGGCACATGCAACGTCAACACAAAGACATGCTTGACCTTATGAATAACTATGTTAAGAAAGAGGTGACTGCTGAATGACATTCCATTTTACCTTAAAACAGTTATCTAACTATATGTGATATAATAAATGCTTGGAAACAATATATTGCTCATCGTGGAAATCAGTGCCTTCCATAAATTTAATCAAATGTACTTTAACCTCTAGTTATATGTAATCATATTTTCATTGTTATTTTTTATCTAATTTTAACATCACTCGAGGTATATGATTACTTTATTTTTGTAATAAAGTTTATTACTTTTTATTGAATGGTAATATTACAAATTTATAATTTATATTTGTTGTATTATTATGTTTAAATTTTCTAATTTTGACAGTAATTTTTTACTTGAATTTTAATAATTTTATCGACAAGTTGGTGATGTGATGAACTCTGTAAAATAATTAAAAATTATTTCTTATAATTTTTTTGATCACTCACCTTGCCACTTTTGTATGTACTTAACTATTAAGTTAATATTTCTTTTATAATATTATATTTGTTTATTTTATTATATATGAATATATTGTTTATTTTAGAATCAATTCTAGGGTTACCTGTGATTAAAAATGATTAATTCTGACTGCTAATGTATTAATAAGTGATCAATATTTTTTAATGCCCAAATCAAATTTAATATAATGAATAGATAATAACCATAGCTTTTTTATAATTAATAATTATTACAAATATATTGAGGTTTTTTTTTTTTTTTGTTTGATGATAGCCTACTTTTCTTACAACATATATATCATTTTAATTCTTAAATATTTATTTTGTGATTTGTCTGCTTTCTGCAATACATTTTATTGAATGTTCAAGAATTGTTAGCTGAAAATGAGGGTATCAGTATAATGAGAATATAATAAACCTAACAAAGTTTTATCGTGTTGATTAAGGAAACAACAATATAATAATGTGGAGAGATGTTATTTATATTATTCAAAGCTGCTGGCATCATTCAGGATACTTTCTCAATTTACAATTTTTTATTAGCATCCAAGTTGATTTTTTATGATTCTATATCAGAATCAACTTTAATTTTTTTTTTATTATCATTTTCTGATTTCATATTACCTCTTTTATTTGTCTCTTTTTCTTACATGTTTATCAAATATTACTTGTTGTTTACTTTTTTTTTAGTTTAAATATTATATTATTTATACATTTAAATAAATTTTTTATTTGCATGGTGTGTTTTAATAACCATTCCTTAGCCCTGAGAATTTCTCCTAGTTTCTCAGTAAATAGATTTATAATTACAATGATTGTTTCTCTGAAGTTTATGAATCATACAATTTATTATTATTTCATTAGGTTATCATCATCATACAATTTTTCATTAGGTTTTATATTTAAATAAAAATTATTATTCTGTGACCCATATTATGCAAGATGAACTATTTTATACTTTCAACATTCGCATAGAAGAAAAAATGCTGACATGTGTTGAGATGAATCTCTTGTTATATATGTACTCAAATAATGCGGAAATAGCTGAACAGCTTAACTAGGATTTTCGTATTCTAATATTTCATTTGATATTAAAAGTTAGGTTAAATTGAGTTTGGTTATTCTGAAAAAAATGTCAAATATCTTTCAATGGAAACAATATTGAACTATAAACTCATAAATATAAAATTATAATGATGCAAATGAATTACTTATTACTACTTGATTGGTTGTCCTGCCATTTCTGACCAACACCATATCATGTTATATCAGCGGCTGTTTTGTTTTTTGAATTGCGGTTATTTTTTATCCAATTAATACCATGTCCTTTCATTGTTAACCATGAAAAGAAGGAAGTCAGTCACCTTGTGTACACATCTCTTGGCTCTGGTAATTACATGTCTTTACTTTCGCATGACATAACATTTCATTACTTTTATCTATTTTTATATTTCTATTTTAAGCATGGATTGAGTATTTTTTTTTTTATTATTATTTTTTTTCTCTTTCACTTTTCTTTCTCTGCATCTTTCTCTTTTCCTTTCATTCTCTTTCTAAGTAGTGTTGAAGTAAAGCTAGAAGAGGCATGTGTGGTTTACATCCATCGGAGGAGATAGGTGACTTAGTGTGGTTCTGGTTCCAGGTACTACTACAAAGTATGGAACACCTATGTCCCTCGTCACTTGGGACCTTTGGGCATCCATGCAACCGCCACTTCTGAAAGGATCTCTTAATGCCACAGGTAATTTATATCTAAATAAAAATATTATATCATTATGGTTACATGTCAGCAGAACAGAATATTAACTTTTTCTTCTAATAAGTAATTACTAGGAGGGTAACGTCCGCCTAACGGCAGACCAACCCCATTTTAAAAATGTATGAAAGACAGAAATTGTTAAATAGGAGAGCAGTTGAAAACTTACATCCTGAAGAGCTTTAAAAAAAATCTTATCTGGGATTAGGGCGCAGTATCTGTTAAACTGCACGGCGCCAGTGCTATGCATACATTCCACCTTATTTGTAAAATAAAATATCGGTCTCTAAAAAGTTTTTTATATGATAGAAAAATAAATGCAAATCAAAATAATTTGTACTAAACTTAAGTGTCAGATGTTAAAACATTTGTTCTTCATTCTTTTCTTGTAGTGTATGTTGTGTAAACATTTTCAAACCAAAGATAGTAAAACATTCATTTTAAACCTTAGTAGTGTTCTAGAGACTATAATTAGTTAACTCCTCATTACTTACAGAAACATTTTATTAATCCAGAAAATGTCTTCATTTAAAAATAATGATTTAATTCTTCACAGACATTAAATTTATTGTTACTTGTTATTGAAATTTGTATTATTTTTCTTTTTTAAACTATCAGTCATTAGGTTAAATTTATAGTTGAATTGGAAACATAAAATTCAATTGAAAACCACAGGTGAAGAACTAGGAATTAAACAGTTAACTGTGCGTCCCAACTATTAGATTGGAACTTAGCATTGTTAGTTCTTTCTTCATGAGGCAAAGAAAATAAAAATAAATTTTAATAAAATAAAAGTTTGAATAGAAATACTTTAGGAATAAAAACTTTTAACTTTTTTTCATTTTGGAATATTTTATTTTTAACAGTGTGTCAATTGCTCTGGAAAAATGAAAGTCAGTTGGAGACAAGTGAAGTGAATATAGTGGATATGGTAGAAGTTCAATTTTCAGATTATATGAAATTAATTAAGTTATATGAAAATGGAACTTACACCATCTTCACATGACTTGTCTCTAACTGACTACCATTTCTTCAGTATGCTTTATACATTCTAAGAAACAGGAATGGAAAGTTAGCTTAGAATATCACTTCATACTCATGAAGATAAAAAGAAAATAGCTGACTGAACCTGAACTAAGTCATCATTCCTAACCTGGGAACTGTTTAAGAATGAAAAAAAAATTAAATACAAGTATATAAGGCCATTTGATTGGTTTAGTTTTTATTTATTATAAAAATATAAATAGAGTTAAAAACTTATTTTTGTGTGATAGATTATAGAAGAATCGTTAATTCGATCAGAAGTTAAGGGTGTTTGGGAGAATCATTAACTATTTGTTTAAAATGCTTAATAAAAGACTTATCAAGTTGAACTGCATTAGACATGTGACCTGATTAAAATTAAATGTATTTAAAGTAGCGTTCCTGTAACAAGCAAAATAAATAGGGCTGTCCAAGCTTAGATCAAGTAGTAGTATTATGAGAAACATGCTAACAAAAAATCCCAACTGGAATAGTTCCTTTTTTTTATTATAAATAATAATAATGTGTGATTAATTCATTCAAAAGTATAACAGTTGGTACCATTTTCTATAAATTTAAGTTTTACATCAATTTTTTTTTTTTTATTTACTGATATTTACAACTGTATTAAAAAATACATCTAGTAAATGTGTACAAATGAATATGATGTGATGAAAACACTTTTTCAGGAACTATTCACTGATAGCACTCTAATATACATCAAATGTAAGATTTAAAAAAAGTAATATTGGTTATACTTCAAATGTGTTAGAGGGAGTTAAAATAGTTACATCATATTCCTTTTATATTATTCAAGTTGAATTATAAAAAACTTTTACATTTTTATGCTTCAGTTAAATTTATTAATCTGTCGTAACAATTTTTATATTTTTAGCTAACTGTAAACAATGTGTTGTCATACTAACTGTAAACAAAATTTTCCTTTTTCAAATATAAGACAGAGTGTTATGATTGCCCATAAAATAAATTTGCTTCAACTTCAAAAGTTCTTTAAGATTGGAGAAATTTATAGATTAATTTTTAAAATATCATAAGCCAGTAACTCATATCTACTTACTACCTTTATTATTATTTTGTTTTTGTTTGTATATTTGCCTTCAGGATTCTACATTTTATAGTTGCATTTCTTAAAATTTTAATTTTCTATGTCTATATATAATTTTTTTTTTCAATATGTTAACTTATTATTATTTCATTTTATTTTAAATTCATTATGTTAACATTGACTATTTATATCCTTAGTTTATTGCAAAAATGCACTAAGTACATGATGAAACTAAAATTTTAAGTAAAACAGAAATTGCGTTAAAATCGCCATACCCTTTTATATATATCAAATATAGTTTTATTGAGTGCATAATGTTATATTTCATAGAGGGAAATTTATCAAAGTACTTTGTGATTTAGTTTTAGGCAATGTTTGTTACTTAATGACTTTTTGCAGTAAACCGGCGATATACTTATTTACTAATAATAGAAGTAAAATTAATTTTAAAGTCATACCAAAACAAAATAATTTGTAATAGCCTTCTAAGTTATTTTTATTGATTGTGAACAATTATTTTATCTATCACTTTCCAAAGAACTGAAATATGTTAATAATTCATATTTTTAAGCAGGTAAACTGGATACAAAAAGGCCAGATGTCTTGACTTGGTGTGATAAAGGTGGTGGGGTTGATCTTGCTCAATCCAATGTATCAACTGTTGGTAGGTATATTAAAAACATTTATACTTTACATTTAATTTTATGAATGACATCTTTGCTTTTTGAACTGTCTGCATATTAAAATATTTTGCTTCTCATATTCTTTTGCCTTAAAATTTATGAGTATACTTGTAATTATTATCAGTTACTCTTATAAACATGTGTATTTATTCATATTGACCTATTATTATTGTCTTGAAATAGGTTATTATGGAAATGATGGTGTTGAGTGTACAAAATGTGGACGCCACTATAAACTTAAATCATCATTAAGAAATCACCAAAAATGGGAATGTGGAAAAGAACCGCAATTTAAATGCCCTTATTGTAACTACAGAGCAAAACAAAAAATGCATGTTGCTAGGCATATTGAACGGATGCATAGAGAAAAGTTGGACATGCTTGAATTACGCGAGCAAGCATTAAAAAAAGGCAGTGAAATACTTCCTTAGTTTTTTCTTAAGTTATTTTTTAGCAACACAAACTTATCAATGAACAACCTTTTATATGGAGTTGTATATTGTTACGCATTTGTATGTAACTATATATATATATATATACAAAATTGTTAAATAATTTCTTGATAACTTTAATATCAAAAACACATGCTAGTCCAGATATATTGATCATAAATTCTTTTATTTTTTATTAATATATATTTTTAAAACAATTTACCTTAATGAAAATTATTTTCTTTTAGTTATAATTTTTTACTATAGATGAGAAAAGTACATTATATATATTCTCAAAAGAGCTGATAATGGAATTTACTTTCTGTCATTGCTATTTTTTGTATTGTTATCTATTGGTTTGAAGTATTCCGAACTATTTACCTAAAATATAGGTAAGCCATTAATCTTTAATTAGAGAATGGTGACATTTTTTTTTAAATTTATTTATTTGTATACCTGCTAAAAAATGAAGGTTTATAAAGTTTTGAAAACAGTTACAAATTTATCTGTTAAATATTTACACTTATTGAAACACAAATACTGCAAATTATACTTAGGTTATAACTTTTTGGTGCCATAAGATACATTTATTATTGCTAGAATGAATGAAAATCTCCATATTTATGGCTGTTTATTGTCGTAATATGTATGTGTTGTTAATTTATTATGAAGTATGAAGATAATTAATTAAGATAATAAGTAAAATGTAAGATAGTATCTATTAATTCTCATCACTTTTCCTGATAAGTATTATTTTAAAGATAATGCTTAAAAGAAATACTCATTTCATAAATGCTCATTTTTTGGGTCCAAAGTAATGTTAAGTATTTTTAATAATGGCCTATGATTATATTTTAAAGTGTATCTCAACATTAATTTTTGCTGTGTTATTTTTGTTGAGTTTTAGTGACATATTTTGAGTCTAAAGTACAAAAATAATCAAATGATGCTATCAAAAAAGACAATCATAATGTTATGTGCCTATTGTTAAATTTGTGCCTTATTTAATATATATTTTAATAAATTCAAAATAAGTAAAAATTATGTCTAGTAACTTTATGCCATATTTAGAATAGTCCTATTTATGAACCAATTTATAAATATAATATTAGTAAAGTAATTAAAGACCAATGTTTAGTTTTATATTCATGTGCCACTTAAAAATCAAAATGAATACGTACTTTCAAGTTACAATAATTTGAATTTAATGAAATATATTATTGAATTTATTTATTTATGTAACCATTGCCTTAAAAAAAGGTATATATCTATTAATGAATCAAATATGATTCAGCATTATTGTTGTAAATATTCATCTATATTTGTACCTATAATATATTGAGTTAAAAGTGTAAATTTCTTTTTAAGTCAGGGAATTAGATCTTAGTGAAAGGTGCCATAATAGCACTAAATACTCTTATTTGTAATTTGTATATATAATCCAATATTTATTATTCTGTACGTTAATTGTTCATAATATTGATAAATGAATATATAAATTATATACTTTGAATATTTTTCATGTAAGCACAAACAATGTTGCTTTTGCTTTAATTTTATTTTTTAATTGAACAATTTTTATTTAAGGAAATGCTCGCTACTGATACAGATTATTTAAATTATAACAGTACAAAATTAGTATAGTTAAAAATTTCAATCTAGCTCTTGCTATTTTTGATTCTTTAAATATATGATATATAACTGTGATACTTCTTCAATACTCTGTTAATTATTGAATGCTCAATTAGTGCCTGAAGTGTTAAATCTCTAAAATATAATGAATAAAAAATTATTTAAATAAAAATCCAAAGCTTGATGGTCTTTTGTTAAACATTAACTACTTTCAGAAAGTTTATTTATTTTTTATTTATTAATATAAGATATGCTTGTTTTGAAATGATACTATATCATCATTAATTTTCTTTAAATGTCATAGTGCGATGAGTTTTATTTTTTAAATTGGTCTTTTTACTTTCCTACCTATATTAGGTAAGGAAAGTATTGCAATCAGGTCGAATTTCCGACATGCGGTTCTCAACAGATCTATATGTTTTAGAGCCCTCTGAGTCCGAAAAACACATTTTTAGCCATTGGTCTGTCTGTCTGTGCCAAGATTTTCTCGGAAACTACTTAACCGATTTTGTTGCTTCTTTTTTTATTTTGTAGGGTTTTGACTACAGATGCCTGTGATAGAAATTCGGTGCTCCATGCGCAATAGCTTGCACGCAATAAATGAAAAACATGTTTTTCTATAGACTGCAGTGCAAAAACAGCTCTAACGATTTTGATGAAACTTTTCTATAATGTTCTATTCATTGTTCTTTCAATTTTCGAATATACACTAAATTCCCGAAAAAAATCAGGAAAAAAAGTTATAAAGAAAAGTAAAATGTTATGGGGCCTAACTCTCTAAGTATATATTATACGGTAAAATTTATAATAAAACTTTTAAAAGTAGTGAAATTCCCTACAAAGCTATATAAAAATCGTTCATTTGGGACAACTATTAACGAAGTTACAGCTATTCAATTTCCAATGTAAGATTACGGTTTCATATCCTGGTGTCAGAAAGGGGGAATGAGAGAATAAAGATGACTAAGTGAAAGTAAGAAAACCTGTTGCCCTCATTACACAATCTTCAGTATTTCCTCTACTTTTAACAGAAATTACCTACCTTAAGCCGGTTTACATTGCTTTAGTTTATCAAATAAATCGTACTCAAATCTTATGTTTGATCAATTTTCAGGAAAATGTATCAAGTTCAATTCTTTTTTGTTTCTTCATGAACATATGTAAAGATATAAAAACTTTTCTGAAATAGGTAGGAAAGTCGTGTGAGTGGACACACCAGATATTTTTTTTTTTAATTTAAAAAAGATAGAAAATATATAAAGCTGTCAGGAAAGAATATTATTTCTTAGATTACAGACAAGATTATTATCTATATTCTTAAATATTTTATTAGTTTTAAACTTACTCATTTGCTATGACTAGTTTTATAAATCTATGGAAAGGTTAATTTTTTTAATAATTTGGTTCATTATATACTACCTATTTTTAGAGAAAATTTATCCCTATATCTAAATTATAAAATAATTTAGTAAATAATTAATGTTTGTAGTTGACAGTTTCTTGTCAATTTTGTTTTTTTGTATTTTTAATTTTGAAAAAAAAAATTAAAAAATATTCACATGACATTATAGGTTCAAAAGCTCCAATAGTTTTTAATTGAATTGTTTATTACAAAAACAACACATGTGACATTTTATATTATTGAAGACAATGCAACAAACTTATCATATCGTAAAATATTCATTTAAAGAACTCAACATAAAACATAGCATGATCAATCAATCTTTACTCTTAAGATTTGTTTATTAACAGTGTTCACAGAACAAGTCTCTACTCCAAACCTTTAAAACTTAAATTTATGCTTTTCCTGAAAAATTCAATTTAATTGTATTATTGCCTATGTTGGGAAATTTTAGGACTTACTACAAATTCACTTACTTAACATTTATAAAAGCAGCTAATTTTTATTGTAGGTTTTTGAAGACCTTTATTGGTAAATTTAATCTTTTAATAACAAGTTAGTTTCATTTTAAAAATTAAATTGAAAAATAGATCAAAAAATGAGTATAGCCCATCAACTTGATAGATTTTTAATTTCTCTACCCTATCCCTTAAATAGCTAGCCCTTAAACACAACCGGAAAGAAAGAAAACCTCAAAAATTATTTTTTGTAAACATCTCAATTGAAATTATTTAAACATTTGTGGTCTAGTTACACATTAAGTGAAAAATTAACCGACAATTCAAATTTTGGGAAATTACAATCAAGAAATTATCTACTACCAAAACTACCATTTCTGAGTTGCTCTTATATTCATATCGTAAAATTTTCTATTTTTTTTTTATATGTGAAGATTAGCTTCTTATATTAAGAAAAATCAATGTATATAATGTTCTAAAAGCATTGAATAAAATTGCCTTGAGAAATATGTCTCAATTTTATTTGTATCAACAAGATCTGCACTTGCTAAATGTAATTGATATTTACGTTGATAAAAAGTAGCTTGTTGTGTTAAAGGCCTTGGATTTGTTAAAAGGTAAATTTAACTGATTAAGATAAGCATGTAAGGTGGTAGGGTTTGAGGAAGAAGAAATCGCTAAATAAAGCAGGGGGTTAAAATTTTTATGGAATGTTTTTAATAAGTTCCATTTTAATGATTTCTGTGAAACTCGTTAGAAAATTTCTAATAAAGTTCTTATAAAGAACTTTTTTTTAATATAAAGTTGCAAATTTATGGTAAAAGTTTGACTTGTATTTCTTGATGTTCTTTTAAAAAAGCCTGTTAAATGAAAAATAAACATTGATTGGGTTTAGTGTTAGGAATTAGATTTATAATTTGTATTAAATAAACTATACTTCTAATCATATAAATTATAATAAATAAAAAAGGATAATGAATATGGATATGGCGTTAGAGGACTGGTCTAATGACTTGGCTGAAACTTCAAAAATGTTATTATAAAAGATGATATTTTGTGGAAAGTAGTCTTGAATTAATGAAAAATGAAATTTTAAATAAAAGTTATGGAATACCTTTACTTGAAAAGTTACAAGGGAAAAAGTTCTAGCTCCAAAAGAACTGAAAACTATCGACAATAAGAATTCCAGAGATACCAAAACTTAAAAAAAATATATATATATTTAAAACCTATCTATATAAAGTTAAAAGTATAACAAATATCTGAGAAGGCCTCTTTTATAAATAGGTTGATCAAGGTGTATATGGAGGATGTTGTAGGTCTGGGATTCAAATTCAATGGAGTTCATTGGAGAAAAATATGTAAGGAATGCTCTTTGATCAATAATGTTTCGAACCATAACTATAAAATAAGCAGCAAATTATTGAGAGTAAGCTGTAAAAGTTTTGTTAAATATAATTTGTAGATTATGCTAACATATCTACAGTAATTATTACAGACCAATAAAAGAGCTTTTTAAATTATTTAGCAATTATTCGTAATGCAAAATCTCATTTTCATTATTTAGACAATTAATGTTAAAATATTTGTTTTATGAAATTAAAAATATTTTATTTTTAATAATAGTTAAATATCTTTTCTGTATTCCTTTGTCTAAATCTCATTTAAAATCCTCAGTTTACACTTTAAAATTAGAATTAGAATTTTAAATTATATTTATACTATTATTAACTATTTATTACTGTCATATTGGTCAATTAAAAAAATTAAAAAGTCAAATCAGTTATTCTTATTTATCATTCCATATTTTCTATTAGTCTTTTAATTGTTTGTATAATTGATACTATGAAATTTCATTATTTGTATTGTTATATTTGTATTTTTTCGTAAACTTTTCTCTATATGTTATTAGTTTATAATTGTTAGAATTACCAGTGATGTAAAGTCAGTATATATCATTACCACTACCTCGAATTGTATTGCTGGCTAGTTGTAAGTTATTTTGTATATTTGATTTCAAAACTGATCAGGGAAACTCACTGCCTATGTCACATGACATGATATTTTGAAGTAATATTTCTGTATTTATAATTTTTATTTGTAAATATCAAAATATTTTATTAAGTGTGCCTTATTTTTGAGGATATTTATTACTTACTTTTAGTTTACATTATTTTAATGAGGAAAACACTGAGTAGTTTTTGTGTTGTATTATTTAAATGATATAAAAATTTTTATTGTTGGATAAATCTATTTATTTATACAAGTATGTAATATTTATATCTTTTTTTTTTTGCTTTATTGTTCTAAGCCTGGTGAAGTATTAAAGTTCTATTATACAGCTTGTTAAATTTTTGTTTCCTTTGGCACTTCTAACATATCTATGGCACTTGTAAAGAGTTGAGTGCATTTAATGGAATATTATTAGTGGATTTTAAATCTAATTGTTTTCTCTTTCTGAGTGCCTAAAGGTGGATTTACACCAATTAATATTGAAGTGTTATTAACATTACTTTTATTCATATTTGTAACAAAAGTGTTACCCATAACAAATTTGTTAGAAACATGGTACAATAATAATAATAAATAGCATTATTAGCATTTTTATTTTTATTATTTATCACTTAAAAAAAAGAAGGTATTTTCCTGGAGTGGGGAAAAATTAACTTCAACCACTTCACGTTAATTTTTGTAGTTTTATTGGATATTTAGAAAGCTCCTTACGATTCTTGCAGTGTTCAGCAGCACAATTTTCTGGGCTTCATTTATCGTAGCTGTTGAGAGGCCCAACTTCTCGGTAGCTTCTACAGAAGATTTTGGAATCAGCCCATTGCTAGAGATCACTAAAGCCCTTTCTGTCACTTTGTTCAGTCTGTACAGATCTTTTAAGTCGGCTGCAAGAGTTTGTTATTTCCAAATTTTTTTGGTGCAGACTGAGTTGGTGTTCCCATCATTTGGTCAGCGATATCTATTATCTCAGCTGTCTTCATAATACTGTCGATCAACATGATATCAGGGCTGTTATGGATCACATTATGGTCTATTATAAAAGATTGATTCCAATACAATTTCATTCCTTCCTTTTGGATAAGTTCTTTAGGGTTGTACTTATAATAAGGTATTGAATCATTCACTAACTTTCTTTTTAGACCAATCGCCTGATGATAAATTTTTGCAACATCTTCATGTCTATTATTATTATTATTATTATTATTATAAAAGTATGTTGATATAATTTTATTAAAATGTTTAATAGTGTTTACTTAGAGTTATTAAATCCTCAGGTCACCAAAAACTAGAAAAACAAATTTTAGTTAAAGTTTACAGCTAATTGTTAATGCAATCAAATGTTATTAATTTGATAATTACTCTTGTTATTAACTAAGGTGTTGATACACATTAATGGGGCTAGTGAGTCAACTAATTAGGAATATTGCCTGTGTACAATAAGGAATATTGAGATACCTTCTTTATATATTGGGAATACCTTCTTTGTAATAATTCTATTGTTTAGCTGATGAGACACAAATATTTAAAAAAATATATTTTAAATACTCCAAATTCACAAAATTGCATTTAAAAACCTATATTCATAGACAAACATAATAGTCCATTCAAATTAGGCTTGTTGAGGGCAACAAGTGATTATTTTTTGTTTATTTTCACAATGTCAATATATAAGGGTTAATTTTATTTTATAACAAATGTCACATGGATTATTTATTTTATTCAGTTTTGTTTCTCTATTATTATGCGGCAAACCCTCTTATTAGTATGCATTTATACAACATTAAATATTTCTTTCACTACAAAGACTTCCCAGCGACGATGTTTTCGGCCACTTCTGGGTCAGCCCGCCTATCGTCGTATCAATTAATACGGAAGGCAAAAAGAAAACATTGCAAGTCCAGTATGGCTGCTGGAAGCAATGAGTATAGAACCGACTTCATGACGTTCTCCGTTCCGTCACAATTGTTCCTGGAAAACTCATTGGTTTCATTATCCCAGGCTGTGAAGATGACTTCCCGCATCTGGGACATGGTTATCCTACAAGAAGACCCTCGTCAGCTGCAACATTGACTTTGAAACACGTAATATGACAGGCCGGGTGGAGGTTCTATTTTAATTTTAATTGTGAACATTTAAGGTGTGTGGCGTTCCTTTGAAATACATTTCATGACCCCACGGGTCTCCAGTTTCAATAACTAGGAATAAAAAACATTATTTTCTTAAATTTTAAAACCTCCTATTGAGGCTAACTTGAACTTGAATATTAATTCATGTATGAATATCTATGTGTCTATAGTCTAGTGGCTAGGATTCTGAAATCTGAATGTAAAAGTACCTAGGTCAATACCTATGTATTCTTTTTTCTCCTTTTTATTAGATAAAAATATTAATTTAAAATTTATATAAATTTTTTAATACAATTTAAAATCATTTTATATAAATTAAACTAGTTGGCCCGTGCGAAAAATTCGCAGATAATTTGGTTTAGTGGAGAAATAGGAAGCCAATATGGAAATAAGTAGTTCCTATGTATTATGTAAGTAAGGAATTAATATTTTTTCCTTAGTGGATTACAATATTCCATTAAACATAACGGGCCAAAATATTTGTACAAATTTCTTTGCTAGGATCTATTTTTTAACGCTGAATGGAAAGATAATAAAAGTAATAAAGACAAAATAATGCCCCGATCGTAGGATATTCTAAATTATTAAAAAAATAAAATGTCAGAACAACCAAATGCCTTTAATTAATAATAAAGCTAATATAGAAGCCAGAAAAAGAATGTAGTAGCCTATTCTACTCCTAAATGCAATTAACATTATTAAGTATACGAAAACTAATGGACTGTATGTTTGTTAATAATTAACCGATTTTTACGATTATTTTTATTTTATTTTTTTTGGTTTTGTAGGTAATTTAGTAATCTTTCTATCACGGGTTCAAAGAAAAAATCCATACTTTTTGAGTTATTCGTAAATAAAGCTTTTTTTTTCCCAGAAATTTGGGTGGGATGGGACTATTTTTCGCATGTGAAGGAGAAGAATATCTTCAGAATGAGCGGTCAATCATTGGATTTGATGAAGAATTGACGAGGTTATGGCGTACCTACAAAAAAACACCTTTTAGTAATAATATATAGTATAGAAGAGCTGTGCTGAAATCTTGAAATTGACTTCACTTTTCATTATGATGTTACCTGCCGTTAACTAAAACATTCATAACTCCTCAGGATTTCTTCCTAATTCAATGTTTCTACAACAATTGGAAAGCTGAATTATCACTCTTCAAGGCGGTATAAATAACTTTTTGATTTAAGGCGTCTATAGAGAGTAAATAAATAAAAAACCCTAACAGGTTTTTATTTTATAACTTTAGTTCTAAATTACTTAGGAAGGCACAGTTTGTGTCATATCGTGTAGTTTATAAGGCCCTATATCCCTGCAAAATTTCGTCCCCAAGCCGACCGAAGAGGTGTTTCCCGCCTGCGGCATGGGGAGCCACCTGACCAACCCTTGTCACCTTCGCTTCCTCTCCCTAGGGTTGGTAGGTTCCACTACTTACCAGAGGAGAGTTCTCTGGCTAGTTCCAATCATCGGCAGGATACAGACTATGTCCACCACCTATGTAAAAAAAAATAATAATTTAATTATTTTTGGCGCTATTCTTCTGTGCATTTGAGAACTAATCTTGATATTCATATAAAGAAAAAAAAAATTAATATAATAGGCGAATTATATATACAACTAGTTTTACCCCGCCAGGCACTGCTGTGGCTCACCCTGACAAAATGGAACAGAAAAAAGATAGCACATTTGATTGGATTAATACCAAAGGACATCTGTCATTTTTAAAAAGTCGAGAAACAAATTTGTCTGTAACATAGCTGCTATTTAAAGTAATTCTAATGATTTTTTTTTCAGGATTCAACTTGAACATTCTTAATCATCAGAGACAGTCTAAGTTGAAGTTATAAAACTAAGACTTTAACGGAGACTTTACCTCCGCTTTCTGAAAATGACAAAGATCCGTCTTTGACATGAAGCCACTCATATATTTTCATGTTCAATTTTATTATTATTATATTTTTTTTATATATTTAATGTTCAACTTTCTGTTGATTATTTTATGGCAAATAAAAATGTAAATGTTTGTTTGTTCAAACTCTTAAATCTCGGAAAGTTCTTCACCCATTGCCTTGAAATTTTGGCTTAACGTTCCATTTAAACACGCCCGTGGTTTAATATAACTACTATTAGAAAATGTAAGGTGAAACTATACATATTTATTAAAACGCACCATCAGTTGGATGTAAAAGCAACAGATGTGGTTCAAAATATTTTACGATACTGTTTCAATGTTAAAGATTTTCAAATATAAACCGTGACAATGCATTGAAATTGAGCTATACCATACCGTTCACTTCGTGTGCATTAGAGCTGCCTTCTACCTCCCTCAAATGATATCTCATACCCCCCTAAGATATTTGATTGCTTGCTTTTTCTTAATAACAACTTGATTAAATTTAGAGTTATAAAAATTGTAGTAAAATAAATCTTACTCATCAACAAATCTTACTTACTAAACGGCACAACCTTATTCCAATGTAATGTTAAAGAAAATAATTTATTAAAAAATTGAATAAACTGAAATCAATAATAACTGTTTTCTGAAAGGAAAATGAACAGTGATAATTATTACTCAAGACTTAAATATTTTTAAATAATAGCAAATCAAATATTTGAAATGTATCATACTACTTCAAGAATACGTAATAAGAAGAGCGTATAATAGTATTGACCTACATAAGGAAAATCATACCACTTCTTCAAATGATAATTTCAATCACTGCAGTAATAATAAAATTTGTTTAATCATAATAAGGAAAATGGTCACAATGTAATTCTCTGCCTATTAGGAGCGTTGCCATATTAATAACAATTTTCAAATACTAAATTTTCAACAAAATACTTCAATAGCCTGTTCTTAGGCAATTAATATTAATATTATTTAAAAAAAATTCAATAATTCCATAGAATTCAAAAATATAAAATTAAACATAAAAATAACAAAATAAATAAACATTACAAAGAAAGTTCTTACTGCGGTGATGCTAACGTTTCTTTAGGATATGCAGTGTCCAGAGAGACTCAGCAAGACATCTCGGGTGAGCAGTGCCTTGGCTGGAGAAGTATACCTGATGATCTTCTGTAGTTGGGTACCTGGGTGTAGATCCACTCTAGAAGCATCTTCAAGGGTACAGACTGCGAAGTTTATCAAAATCTAGTTTGAGACTTGCAGTGCCTGTTGCGGGCGCCAGTTAACGAATCGGAGGCAGTGGAGACTTTATAAGTAATGCTTTTATTCATAAAGTTACAAATGGCATCTAAAATACAGAGTAATATACAATGGGTTGACTACATGTGTTCACTCCAGGTCTCCTGCAGTAAAGAGTATGACTCAAGAATGCAACTGCATGAGTGATTTGGTCTAAGGATCATGGGGGTTATATGCTCAGGAATAGTAGGGGGGGAATGAATCAATTCTGGACGGTCTAGGAAGCGTGTGAATGAAGTTATAACTATTAAGAATTGATATCCTTATCTTTTAGAATTGATATGAAGTCTGTGAGAAAGTGCTCTTTTGCTGAAAACGGTTATTGTTCCCTAAGTCTTGATAAGTGTCTTCTGTCCAGTCAATACATTCTAGATAACTATTTCTAAGCTATTAGAGATAGCTTGACCTGGCTATCTAGGGCTTTTTGCTTTTATGCTTTGATAAAGGTCATGAGAAAGGTCAATGCATGATTAAATGATTAAATAAAATAAAAGTTAATATTAATAGTTGTTACGGATTAAGTCCATTCCGTAACTATAGACAGGTCAAAAGTTGTCATACTAATTGGAAGTGGATAATGTTGCAATATCACTAAGGGAAAATTCATCAAATTATTCACTAATTTAATTTTCTAAAATTTTACATGATGATTTTTCAGGATAAATGAACGATAAATATCTAATTATTTAAACATAATATTAGATCTAAAGTTATTAAACTACAGTAAATATATTTAAGATTATAAATATATCCATGATATATTGTTATATTTCACTTATCCTTTCACGAAAGTACAATGTAATAGTATCTTAAACAGTGTCATTGCCTTGAAACCGTGGATTATAATACTTATTCAAATTTGAAAAAAAAAAAACTGTTAAAAGTTTACATTTATTAAGAAATTCACATTTAATTTCCTTTAAAACACGTGATTTACGTTAAATAAATAATGTTAGTTTTTAGAAATTATTATTTATATATTTTTTCGCCACTCTCCGTTTCCTTCTACAACTTCATTTATTTTATTATATCTTCTTCTATATATATAAAAATGAATGTATGTCTGACTTTCCGTCTGTTTGTCCTTGGTGCATTACTAAACCATTCATCCGATCACCATGAAACTTTGGGAAGTTGTTCCGCACACCCCTCGGAAGGTTTCTGGCATAGTACTTCTGTCTTACGATAATTTTATATATGTAAAAAAAATAAAAATGTAAACTTTTTCCGTTCAAAGCCGCAAAAAAATGTGTCGCTATTAGCTGTAGCGCCAAAACGGCTTTACCGATTTTAACGAAACTTGGCTAAAGTTTTCCCCTTGAAACCCATTTAATTTATGTGTATAACATACTTTCTCGAAAACAAGCTGAAAAATTTTACGATTAATTCAATATTTTATTTGACGATAACTAAAAAAGTACACAATTTTTGACTGATAATACACATATTTATATGTAAATTCCTGATTTGCCGACAAAATAAAAAAAAAATCATCGAAATAGACAAGCATTATTTCCGAAATAAAACTATTTCTAGCGGTCGTAGGAGTAAAGTGGCTTAAATTATTTTTTTAAGGAAAAACAAAGTTCAGATTTGTATTTCGCACCTTGATAAACCTTCAATTACCAATTTTCACTGGAATCGAAAAATAATTTTTTTTTGTCTCAAATTTTGGTCAAGGGTGGGACCTTCATTTTTCTTTCGGAAACTACAATGTGATACTACAGTGTGATAACTTAATAATGGCTCCACCTATAAACACGAAAAAAATGAGGGGTTTGCGGCCACGTAAACTGCACAAATTGCAACAAACCGTACCCCCACAAGTATATTAGATGTGACGATAAAAAATTAAGCGCATTAGGAGATTTTCTTTATTTATTCCTCATGAAGGCGTTAAATCTAAAAGTTTTTGATGTGGTTTTGAAGAGCAACATCTCAGCTTTCCAACGGTTATTGAATCATTGAATTAGAAGAAAATCCTGAGGAGTTATGATTTATTTAGCGAACGGTAGGGAAAAAAATTCCAATAGACAGTGAATTGATAACCATAGCAACCGGATTAATACCTGTCTCTTTATCTTCTATCTATATATATAAAAATCTGGTGCGCGCAACACACAACTTTCACTTACCCATCTACTTTGAATAGAAATTATTTTCTGGCAATGCTGGGCTATTATAAAATTTTTTGTAGTGCATTTTAAACGTTATCTGTAAGCTTTAAGCTTTAGCTCCGTTTAAAATGCATGAATTGTTAAATTATGACATGTTATCTGTAAATTAAATTCTATTCTGTAAATTAAAACTTGTTATCTGTAAGCTTTAAGCTTTAGCTCCAAGTCATTAAGACCATTATACTTACAAAATATCTATTCAATATATCGACGACAGGCAATACAAATCTATTCACTCTATCTGCTTTTATAAACCACAGAATGACTAACTCCAATTTCCACATTTTTAAGAGATGTCATTTTAGTGATATTTTTAGTTTAAAAAGTTATCTATGCAGACAATGAGTAAGTTGATTCCAGAGGTGGTGATTGCAGTGTTGAAATATAGAACTGAGGATTTCTTTTTAAACTTTTATTATGATATTTACAACTATATTAGTATGAATACATCAAGTAAATGTGTACAGAGGAATATTATCACATGAAACACGCTTGTTGAGAAACTACCCATTGGTAGCACTCTAATAATTTATTATAATATTATTATTATAATTAATAATAAATTTAAAAAATAAAAGTTGCAAGCCCTACCTTATTACTTCGACCACTACGGCGCGGGTTTGATTCTCGCATAGGGACGGTAATGTCCCCATCCAGAGATTCACATGGAGGGGAGCGACGCCTGCGTCTTACACCATAGCTCCTGGTCCTCCAGGTTGGGTGTTGGGCATAGGGCTAATAACCCTATCCCGAAAAAAAAAACTTATTACGAGAGAGAATCACTTTATTATCATAAAATAAAATAAAATGGTGCTGCCCAATTACATTGGGTTGCTAACAACACAGCATACTTATTAATCACTACAGACATTATTTAAAATTATTATACAATTATAGGATTAACAATATGTATGAGCATAGTATACAATATTTTATACGTATATATATATATATATTTTTTTTTTTTTTCCTTTTTTTTTTTTTTTTTTTTTATAATTTTTACTATTTCTTTCATTCATTTATTATCATTCTGTACCCTTTCTCTTCCTTCTCTCCCCCTATACATGTTCCCACTCACATTCTCTCCTCTCTCTTTCTAACCTAATACATAAAAAATTCATAAAGTACAGTGGACGTGTTCAATAAATAATAATATAAAAAATGCTGTAACACAGGCATGCCTCCCCCTCGCGAGCAAACTCTCCCCCTATCCGCTCCCATGCACATGGTGGTGGATGATTCCCAGGGAGTCGAGGATTATACTCTCTGCCAACCTTGCCACGTCCTTTATGTCGACACCAAGGCCCTCCATGAAGCTCCTTGTTGAGTCTGGTATCGTTCCGCGAGCTCCGAACCAAAGGCCTCTCACGTGGAACTCTCTCGGCCCGAAACTCTCGCGGAACTTTTCACTAAGGAAAGGGATGCATTTCTCATATATCTGTTTTTTCTCCCTTTCCACTTTTTCTGCCTGATCGAGGTCGTTGGTCTCATATCACACGGTCGGATCCAAAATCATCGCCGACTTTCCCGTCTTAGAGAATGCTACAATGTCGGCATATCGGGTGGATCCATCCGTATCTATACAATATACTTCCTCGAAACAGGCGTATTCTCTCTCTTCAAGGAGCCTCATCAGTTCATGCTTGACTCTGTGGTGACGGCGTGTTATAAGGAGGGAGTTGTTGGGGCATTTTCCAAGCACATGTGCTGGTGTTTCTGGCTCTCTGTCGCATTTGCGACAGAGGGACCCAACTTCTCTTACCTGTCCGCTGACACCTGGGACTCCACGCAGGGGAGCATAATTAATATTTAGTTTCAGGGCATTTGACCATTCAGACCCAGAAAGTACTTGCTTATCATACATGTATTTATTGGCTTTCGGGGTCTCTTTAAAATGGCGAACTCCAATGCCCTGCCACCTGCAATTGGTCCATTCCTCAAACGAATTTTCTCGAAG